ACTTTGACTCACAGAAGGGGTCCCCAACGTGTCGATTACTTACGTGTAAGTTACTTTTAACGAAAAAAATGATCACATTAATGTCAATATTCTCGCTTGAAAAAGACAAGACAAGAAGCCCGTGGCCCAATCCACAGGTCGCGGGTTCAAACCGCGGGTGGTACACGACTTAGGGTAGGTTCTGACCGGCTGATGATGATAGCTGATGGGCGAGAACTTGTTAGTCTAGTCTCCCTTGTTTGTTACTATAATCTTCTCCTGCCCATAATACTGGTTGTTCTGTGGCTACCGGCAGGACTATACATGAGCCCCAAGGCAAAATGGTAAAAATTAGCGTCCATCCACAAAATAACGCACTATTTGACTGTCATGGCTTGGAAGGTTGCAAGTTCTTCTTGGAATTATGATGCAGGTTCCAAACCTTCCATCCTTATATAGCCATTAGGGCATTCTGAACCACTTGAGGATCGGGCCGTTCCTACAGTACATACAGTAGATTCCGTATCTCGTGAAAAGTCACCCGTCATTCTGAAATGAGTTTTTGATTGGAACATCTAAATTACGCATGGTTGTAATATAGACGACCATGCAGCCTAATCTCAACATACTTTGGATACATCTGGACGCCGGTTTTTTAAGAAAACTTCTTTCTGACCGCAAAGAAAAAGTATGTACTATAACAAGTAGCTACTTACGTAGTATGCCTTTTTGTCATTGATTTTGACTGCCTTTATAGATTCAAATATATTTTTTTGGAAAACTTGCACGAGGAAATTATCTCTTGTACCCGTTTGCGAGAAAATTACGCCTTTTTCAAATTTTAAACTTAAAGAAAGGGTACCTTTCGCTTTTAAAAAAAGTCTCTAAATTGCCGAATAATTTTGAAACCTAGTGACTGCTACACTGGAATTCAAGGTTTAAAAACTGCGCGCTGTGTACATCCTTCTTTAGGAAAAGTACGTTTTCGCCTATAGCTTGAGAAGGATCTCACACAAAATGTTGCAATAGGTATGGAGCATGCTTTATACAGTAAAGGCAACATTAAAAAATTGACGGATACGATGTCCTATGAATGAACAGCTCAAAATTGTAAAAAGGCTCATAATTAGAATTTTTTAAACCGAAAGATACTCTTTCTTTAAGTTTAGAATTTTAAAAAAGGCAAAATTTGCTACCAAATGGGCACAAAAAATTAATTTTTTTTGTGCATGTTTTCCAAAAAATATATTTGAATCTATAGGGGCAGTCAAAATCAATGACAAAAAGCATACTACTTAAGTGGCCACTTTTTATAGCACATGCTTTTACTTAGCGGTCAGAAAGAAGCTCATTAAAAAGCCGGGATCCTGATGTGACCTAAACATATTGAGATGGGGCTGTAAGATCCTTATTTTTAAAACCGTACGTAAATAATATGTTTGAATCGAAAACGCATTTCAGAATTCCGGTGATATTTCATGAGATAGAAAATTTACTGTATGCTATATTAAAAAGGAAACGAATTATTTATGACCGCTACACAAGCCTACCCAACTCCGATCCCCTTTAACTTGATTTGCCATCTTTGCAATGCATCTGGTGGCATGCTAGTAAGCCCTGTATATTTGATGGATATAAATAAAACTACGTTAATATGCGCGAATATTCGGGGTCCAGATATAATATCGTGCTCATCATCCCCGGCAGAGGAACAAGAAGAGGGGGCAAGTGCTGGGACCAAATTGTATTCTTGCTGACCTTTCAAAAACATGCTCGTTTTCATCATCAGAGCGTGCTGCCTACTCTTCCGC